CGAGGTGAGATCTGACTCACCTTGACCAAGAATGCGGTCTGAATAGCAGAGCAAACCGAGCATTGCGATACATTCCCGCATCGTACTCGAGTGGTTTTTTTTTTTCGTATTCCAACGATGCTCTTTAACGTCCGTCGAGGTCCTCTGCAGGATGGGGGTGTGACGGAACAAACATTGCACAAATATCATGAATATTCATGGTTCGCGTGGAAATTTCTCACGATCCTCGACTCCGTTGCATCGGCGCCGCGCGAATTTTACGTTTGCGGGAGCGGAAAGACGGAGACGATTCCAATGTTGCATTTCGAATATTCCTGCCCGTCGGATCGAATGGCGGTAGGAACGCGTTCGCTTCTCCGACGGTGTGACGTCAGCGGCGTCGTCGAAATCCCAGATCGTACGGTAAAACGGCTTGGAAAATGCCGTTCGTGCCTCGGAATCGCCATTTTTAGTCAAAATGAGCTTCATGAGCGATTCCGACGTTTTTCCTAACGAATTAATTATTTGGCTCCAATTCTGGAAATCATCCAGGTTGAATTCCTGGACACGAACGGGGATTGAAACGGTGAAAGAGAAAACTCGTCCAGGATTTGCTAGACGCAATTGGAGCAGGCTTTTCTTCGATTTCGAGGCCTCCACCCGATGCGTGAGTTGCACGTGGAACAAAGAAACCATTCCCTCTTCGTCTTTTCGTTCTTCTCTAAGGATAAAAAATTCTCGGATCTCGGCTCATATAAGTCGGTCATGCTTCGAAGCTGCATTTATTGAAAATGAGACTCGAGGGATTTTAAAATGCTTCATCTGCCAGATGACCTCGCGACTTGGAAATTCCGACTTCTCATTTTTTTATTTATCGATACGGTGAGTGGAGCGGATTTCCGTTCACCCTTTGAGCAAAAAAGTTAACCGTTCGGCTGCGTTACACTGCGTGTCGTGGAAGCCGAGAGACTTCGGTGTTTGGTCTGTGGGCAACGGGAAAGAAGGTCAATCGCTCGAGTGCATAAGCAATTAGACGAAATTCGACGACGCTTCCAATTTGTTATGAAATTCGATATGGCACTTTCGATTTCGTCTAATTGCCCATTCACTCGAGCGATCGACCTCGTTCCGGTTGCCCCGGGACGAAACTCCCGTCTCGTCGATCTCTCGAATTCCGTTGCGTTCCGTACGGCGCGTCGGAACGTCACGACGGCGAATCGGTCGACGGACGTTCGTCCTAAGCGCATCTTGCCTACATCGAGCCGCGTCGACCGTATCCGAGACTCGAAAGAGATCGACTTTTCGAGTCCCGGCATCGTAAATGAAGCATTTTTTAAAGCTGCCATTTCGTCTACTCCTCGAGGAACGATGCCGATGCTTTTGGACTTCTCTGTACCCCGAGGGTCTGGACGATGAACCGATTCCGGCTGAACCGCAGACGAACCCGAAACGGAATCGCTTCCTGTCGACGAGTCGACGGGCATCTCGCAGATTCTACGACGGGAATCCGATCTTACGGAATGAAGAATTTCCCGTTTTAGGGACAGACGACGATCGAAGACGAGCGGCAAGCCACCTCCCCGTCTCGGTCTGCCGAGAAGCAGAACCCCTCGGTCTCTCATCCTCTCGTCCGTTCGTCCACTCATTCTTTCGTCCTGCTCGTGCCGATGAGGAACCCCGAAGTCCCGGTGGAGAACTCCATTAAGATGTTATCAAATACAAAATTTCATTTTTTCCCCCCCTACCGATGCTAGGCACCGCCCGACGGTGATTCGTAAGAGATTTTTTTACGACTACAAGTGTTAAAGCGATTAGCGATAATTGGATGCCGTCATGTGCTGGGCAGGAATTCATGATTCGGCTCGATGAGATGGCCTTCTCGATTTCCAAACGAGCCCAACGCGTTAAAAAAAAAAAGCTGCACGGAAGGTGTGAAGAGTGTGGGGACTGGGAAAACTCCACGATTTTCAGCCGGTTGAGAAATAAAACGTTGGGACGAGTCGAAAACAAAACCGGCACCATCCGCCCCGTCCTTCGACGAGCTCTAACCGTTCCATTTATACGAAAACCTTTTGTGTATCTGTGATCGGCGATTGCAATAAATTGGTAGAACGCTTCGGAGCGTTACGTATTCTAAGTACGTTCTACTCGTCGATTTGCGAACCCCCGTCTCCGAGCGTGCTCGTCTCCGTAGCATTCCTGTGCGCTTAACGCCTCGCTCGCGATCGCATCTAATCACTGCTAATGGATCATAAATAAGCATGATCGATGGGCAACCACGAAGAGTCCTGTGGCTTCCCTTACACACGAATGTGTGAGAAGAGCGAACCCTCATCATACCTCCATTCGGTAAAGGCCCACCTTCTAGAGGCCCACCCTCTAGAGGCCCACCCTCTAGAGGCCCATCCTCTATAGTGGAGAATGTGGTTAATTCGATATGGCATCGAAATCTGCGATGGCCACAATTAAAAAGATAATATCCTCATATTTAAAAAAATATATATAGAAAAGAACAGAAGATATTCCACGCTTGCGAAAAGATCCGTCTCGCTTTTAGAAGGCAACATTTTTAGGAAGATCCCAATATAGGAAATTTCGATTTCACTTATTCTCGAGAGTGACGACACGATCGCATAAATGCCTAGGAACTTACGAATAAAAGGCCCGTGCTTCCTCGGATGCCGTACTGCCCCGAATGAAGCAGTATTTATTACGTCTCGAGGAGCAAATCGACTTTCGTAGGCCTATTTTCGGTGTATCGAATCCTTTCCGACTCGGCACCTAAGCATCGGGAAGACTTTACGATTTCTCTTGCGCATGTGGCAACTCGAGTGCATGCACATTTTCCAGGAAAATTGTCATTTTTGGTCGTTTCCTTGCTCGAACCCTACTCGTTTCGTGATCCAAATGCCACACGGCAGGGTACGAAAGCGGGTGAGTTACCTTCGGAGGATCGAGAGAATATCGACGATCACGAAAGCTATAGTTTGTTTTTTTCGAGAAGGCACGTGATAGGCACGTGGGCCATCGGCATTCTTCCCGATAGGCGATCGATCCTCGGATCGATGGGTGACCGCGGTCTCGATCTTGAACGCAGCTAGAGGCCGCGAAAAAGTTTCCCGCCGAAGTGCCACACGGCGACGCGGAAGACGTTCGTGTCCTCGACGGTTCCAGGGGATGGCGTTTGCCGAAGACGAGGTTTTCGCGTTTTCGAAACCGGGAATCCTCGGAGCAAAATGAGGGATGACGACTCGAACCGGGAGAGAAAGGAAACACGAAGGTCTTCCGTCGAAAACGATGCTCCTTCGTCTGGGCTCCCGTTTCGTGCCGGCAGCCCCGAGTGCCTCCATCGAATCGTTCGAAGACTGTCAACCGATGGAAAACGGTTCGATCGACTCGAAAACTCCTCGGAGAACCCGGAAAAGGAAAGTGGTGAACAGATCGAAAAGGCTGATAGATTTTCGACGGTCTGTCGACGGAGCCAGATCCATATAGTATTTCTGCCTAGCTCACGTCTGCATCAAATTAAAAGGCATTTTGCATTCCAGAAACGTCATCATCTACATAATACTGTAGTGACCAACGTTCGTTGTTTTGCGCGTTTGCTCGCAGGTCTGCATATAAGGTCGCGTAAACGGCTTGAAATTTAGGAGGCTTCTATTTAAAATAAAATTCCTGGGAAATACATAATCGTTCTGGAATCGTTACGATTCACAATTTCAACGGCATCGTGTAAGCACACGAAGAGAACGCAGGAAATAGAATTGAGAATTGAGGAACCTCAATTCTCAATTCGTGAATCTCTTGTACCATCGAAAGTCCACTCAAATGTTAGATCTCCATTGCAAAAAATATTGTCATCTGCTGGCATCTATCACAAGCAGTGATAGCTGCTTATGATGGCGGATCGCCAACCACCTACCACCTAATACCAGCTGCAGCAGGTGGTAGGTGATAGCTCTTTAAGTAGCGGTGGAAGCTCTCGTGTATTTCCCAACAACCTTCAGATAACAACGAACGAAAAGAGTTGACAAGTCAGAAGAGAAAATTTCACATGTTGTGGGCATTTCCTGGGCCTTCTTTTCTTCTTCCCGAGGAAAATTGAAAATGTTTTGCCAAACCAGGATTTATCGTTCTCATTGCGGTTAGTGATGGCAATGTGATCGATCGGATACAGTGCCTGAATATGACTAATAAGCTGTAATACGGAACCATGGTAGCACGGAGACTCAATGGAGATGCACGCGGTAGCAATGAGGCGAAGAATCGTGGTTGCGTTCGGGAATGCTGCTGCCATCTAACGTCTACTCCGTACATCGTCAGGTTCCGTGTGAATAACACAGAGTACAGATTTCCATAACTCCTCGCACATCTGCATGATCGGAGCCGGACCTTTCCGAAAGTTTTGCTGACAACTATTCGAGCCTCTACCGTTCGGTTCCAACATCTGTGGCGAAGTAGGAACAGAGCAACATGGCATGAGGGTTTTGGTTCGAAGTGCGATGGGAAAAATCTTTGAATTTTCAAGTCACTTGTACGATACAGTACCCGTAGAGGTACACAACTGGCATTTCGAGTTAGATTTTGAAGGAATTAGGTCCTGATTCAATTATTTATAAGTTATGAGATAATTTTCAGGTATAGATATATAGATATACTATAGATATACTTTATCGAAGTACATCCACTTTGGCTGAGCCCATCCGACGGTACCGATCTTTTCCATGCTGCATTTTGACTCATCATACGTGCAAACGTAATGGTCAGCGGGAAGGATGCATCTTTGCCGTGGGCAACTAGTAATACATTACCATTACTTCTCATCGACATTTTCGAGCTTGCCAACTAGAAGTTACCGAACAGAAAATAGGGGTATTACCAAGGGAAATTGCGTAGTTTTTTTTGCATCTAAATATTTATTTACGCAGATCGCCGTTCAAGTTAAAGTACATGACCTCACATTTACCTCTCCATATGCATGACTAGAAAAGAGATCCAACAGATAAGGGAAGAGGGGAGGGGGGGGGGGAATTCGGGACTAGAGCAGGAGGTCACTGAGTGTCCATGGCGACGAGATCTTGGCCGCGGAAAGCCGCCTCGAGGAGGAAGCGCTTCACTTGGGACCCCAGATCATCTGAGGTCACGTGGTAGCCGCTGGACTCGAGCGCTCGGCGCAGTTCCTCCGGATCCGGCAGCAGGAGCTCCTCCAGGGAGAGGAACTCGTCTTCCTCATCTTCCTCGGGGACCTCTTCCATGAGGTAGATCTTGTTCACCAGCTCGATCTGGGTCACCACTTCTTGGGTCATCCGTTCGAACTCTACCTGGGCCGACACGGCTCGCTCTAAAGCGGATGGGTCTCCGGAATCCGATTTCTCGCTCTTCAGTTGGCCAGGCATCTGATCCAAGTGACAGGGAGACAGAATTCAGATGACATATATACAGTCGTTATAGCAGAGGTTCGCTATAATCGAGGTTGCTATTTCCCATATCGTGGAAAGAAACGATATCGGAAGTCCATGTTCACGATCGACGCCTGCTTTACTTCTCTCATTTTCTATTAAATCAGTTTCTCTGTTCCATTGTAAAGGCTTGCCTCGTTCGCTTTCAGTAACCCCGGTGTCAACAAGAACTATGAATAGCAAAAGAAGATTAAAAGAAAATTTCTGTGAAGGGGTATTTCCATTCCCTCCATCCTCAATCACGCTGCACGCACGGGAGACCCCCCAGGAATACAAATTCCAGAAAAAGGAACTCAAGGGGGTTTAATTAGAATTGTGTCGAACAATGGAATTTTTAGTTATAGCAGAGCTTAACGACGAAATCTTGACCTTAATAACTTCGGAGCATTTCCAATTTTGTCAGTGAGACAAAAATTGACTTTGCTATAACCGAGGTTCACGCAATAGCAGAGCTTGCAATAAACGAGGCATAAACACTCGTACCATATGGGCTTGACGCCGGGACCAGGCCTTATTCCAAGCTATAACCCAGGTCTCGTTATAACCGAGGCCGTTATAACGGAGTTCCACTGCAATCCCATCTCCTATATGTAATATGAAACCTCTTTTTCCACAGACGTAGTTCTCGAATTCGAAGATCAAATGTGCTTCCCAACCTATATAAACTGTGATTCTTGAGTTGTACAGAACATCGTGTTAAAAATAGGCCTACGAGACCATCGACCGCTATACGCTTTCACTTGCTTTGCACAAGATAAGATAACTGATGAAAAACGAGGTGAGAAGTGCTTTGTCAGTCGTCTGTAGGTTCATCTCTCTTTATTGCCTTATCTCTGGGATGATTCATCTGTTTGCACTGCTTCACTTCAAGTCATAACGTTCAGATTCTTTCGATGACTCGAGCCGACTTTAAAATGTCCATATCGTTTGAAAGCTGCTTTATTTTTTTAAACGTGGGATTGGATACTCCATGAGGGTCATATCAGTCGACGTCTCTTTCGAAAAATATACGAGGTCTTTCTTTTGTTCCTTATGCATCCAGAATAGCGAAAACCTATTTTGGAAGACATGCGAATTGAAGTGGAGCCGAAGATTTCATTGAGGGTATTGCATTCGTTCCGAGTTACTCAATCGTGCGGAACTAAGCCTTGAACATCTAAAATTGTGGCTTAGCAAATGTGCAGTTGGTCATCGCGAACTGGTCTTCTCGGTATCCTCGCTGCAGTGCAACGAATTCAAAGAGATGCAAAATAAAACTTGGTCTCACCTTGCCTCGGTTGAAATTCCTCTGCGCGGGGGTGAAATGGAAGCGGGGTTTACCGTGCACCGAGGCAAACACACCGAGAGAACGAGAACGAGCGTGAAAATGAAACAAAAAGCGGGAGAGAGGCGGGATATCACACGGACACAGGAAGGAAATGGAGATACACCCAGGCAGGAACTGAGTGGATCCGCCCGATTATGGACGGAAACTGGGGTGGGGTGGGGTTGGGGATATGGCAGATACATGCTGCACAAAAACGTCCGGTGCAATACACTTCCGCCATGATCGTGTTCTTCCAGCTGGTCAGTTCCCGGGCAAGCGACCATGTGCGACGAGGAGCCCTCTGCGGGCAGAGTAGACCCAGCACCGCGGACCTCCGTGGTCTCATAGTCCTCCTGGTACCGCTAGGCAATTCACCTACAGAGAACTCTATGGCAGCTGCAGCTGTTCGCCGTTCAGATTAGGGCTTTCCCTCCATGCCCCCACTCCCCCCCATCTCTTCCCTCCCCCCATCACCTGCTCTTTATTAGCATCTCTCCTTTTTTCTCGCCTGCCTGCTATATGAGGGGTAGCTATGGAAAGGAAGAATTAATCCATCCGCTAACGAAGAGCGATGATGCACATACAGCGATATGGATGTATGCGTATCCCAATTCTCTCAGGATTTGGATTTCAACTTACTGCTCATCGTCAGCTCGATTACATCGGCAAGTTCGACATGGATTGTAAATCAGCCGAATGCAGCCACAGTTCAGCCTGTCAATAGTGGCAAGCGGTCACGGGCCGCTCTCGTATGTCCTCGAACGGATCCAATCGGAACGAAGCTCTCGTTTCGTAATGATGCCGCCGTCGTGAAAGATGTTGATATCCGACGGCAATTCATCTCGAATAAATTTTACGCGATGATAGTGTTTATATATACAAAGTGGTCCGTATCCCTATTTGGAGCAGTGTAGCTCGCAAACTGTCGGAGGCAGACATGAAACTCACGAGAGAAGCATGAAACATGACGGAATATTTAAAAAAAAACCGAAACAAAACAGGCACACAGAGAGAGCAACGGTGCGCAATCTGGGGGGCGCGAATATGGTCTTCACTTTAACTTTTTCCTCGGAACTAGGGAGTTTTAGGGATCAAAATTAAATAAAAGGGGGAAAATGAAGAAAAACTACAAATGTAGGAAATTCCAAGAGAAAAATCTATCAAATATTCAAATAGATTTTTCTCTTGGAATTTCCTAGATTTGTAGTTTTTCTTCATTTTCATTTTCATTTCTTCATTCATATCAGATATTCAAATAGATTTTCAAACAGGGCCGGATTCAGAAGTTGCGAGACTCGCGGCAAGTGAATTCCGGCCCCCCCCCCCCCCGCTACTTTATGCAAATGCAATACTTTTTTAGTACTTTTTTAACTTCCTTCGGGGGGGGGGGGGGGGCCTGGAAGAGTGGGGCCCTGGGCAACAGACCCCCTTGCCCCCCCTTAATCCAGAGCTGGATTAAAAAAAAAAGAGCAAGTGTGGAGGCCTATGCATTTACTAATAACTAGTCACGAGAGGTCGATGCATCGATACCACTATCGATGGTTGGAAGTATCGATAGTTTTTAGAGCAAAACGATGTATCAGCAAAATTTTTGAAGGAGAAAAGTCCCATTGGATTGAGACGAATACAGTACGTTGCAGTCCGTCCGGGCGAGGAAAAGAAGAGGCGGCGTGACCCTGATTGGCTTGCAATTTCTTTTTAAGTTCAAATTCAGGAAATGCTGGGACTGACTATATGAAAGACGAGAAGAAAAAAAGCATGTTGGAATTGGAAACAGGAAGTGGGAAAGGAGAGGGAGGGGGGACCGTAAAAATATATTTTTTCTCTTCTCTTTTCTTCGGCTCGATCTCATCAGGTGCGTGCTGTGAAAGTGGACTGTTCTTTTACTCCCTTCATTTCGAAACGTACATTGGTTAATCTCCCTCTTCATATTCCTATATAGTTTGTCCTGAGATAAAAGTATGTTTGATTCAGTCGCAGGTAAACCTACGTTTTTAATTTTTGTAACACTACTTGTTTTCTGAATTGGCTTTTGTTTTGTGGCATTGCATTATTCTCAATAGAAGTGATGTTAATAAGGTTAGCGTTATACAGTACTACAAAAACCATAAATTAGTATTTCCTTTCTCATGCCGTCTTACCCGAATTTACGGTCAGTTTCTGATTAAACTGAACCGCTGAACCGGTAGAGAGGGGAAGGAGGGGGGGAATAGGGGGGCGCAATCTAAAAAGTTTGCGCCCCGCTGATATAGAGGGCGAAACTTAATCGGTTGTTATATGATGTCCATGCCAATCGACAATAGCATCCATGTGTGAAACAATGTTGGAAACGGCAGCGCGCAACATGTGTTGCTGCTCTTTTTTTCGAAGTTTCGCAGTTCACTGAGATCACCCGATCTGTAATTATTGGTTATGAAGTTTCATAAATATGCACGTGTACAGCAACGGATCGACGACGCTCCCTCGTTTCAGGGCTGCGATACACCGAAAAGGGCGTGAACTTGAAGCACCTCGAGATGTCGTACGCCGCCGTTTCTAACAATTCTGCGCATGGATGCTGCTATCGACCGTCTTGGACGTCGTGGTCATGGTTATTGTTTCGTATGTAAAAATTAAGTTTCTTGTATTGGACCCTCCTTGGTATGGATGAGAGCCTGACCCCATCTCGGTCGGGAAAGTCACTAGCTTGTCCACCAGTCTTCCTCTGCGATATGACAATATACTGTGCAGGGCAAACTAGAAGTGCTGTTAGAGCCCGATCGGACTCCATCATCAAATGTAAGTTGACCGGATTTCTGTGTCGCGAAAGTGGGACACCCAATGAATACTTCCCCTTGCCTCTCGAAAAAGCATATGAATGTATTTGTTGGACTGACAATTGTATTTATTATTGCCAAGCACGAAATAGAGCTGTTATTTAATTGTGCATCCACAGTAGCGCAACCAGCCCTAAAGAGGGAGTTTCGGGAAAGTTCGTATAACTTGTCTTTCAAATGTCTCCGGATACAAGAAGGCGTTATCAAACCATCAGAAGAGGAAAATGCGAAACGACGTCGAACACACGAACATAGAAAATTAAACAAAAAAATTCAATGAAATGATGGAAACAGAATTTAAACAACAAATAATACAAGCGCATTCGATATTTGAAACAAAGCTAAAGATGAACAGAGTTAATTTCGGGATTCAGCCCAGATTTTACTGCGCAGGCATGCAACTGGAAATTCGTTAATTTGTACGTTATTCGTGACTTTCATCCGAGTCGTGGTCCTTCCGTTTTCAGAAAAAATGTCAGCAGCGTGACATGTGCAAAACGCTTCCGTGACATTTTCACTTTACTGCAACAAGCAGGGGTTTTGGCACATTTTTGGCAAGGGGAAGGCCCGGTTTCCTAAAAAATTCTCAGGAGTCACTTTCCCATGCAATTTGAAAACATCTATTAAGATATCAAATATCTGAAAGAAATCTCCGAGAACCATTAAATTCATCGCAAAACGACGCAAAACGAGTCGAGTCCAGTCTCTGAAAGTTGACTCCTGTCCGGAATCGCGAATGGGAAGTCAGAGCCTGGAGGCTTCCCCTGACTCAGAGACAACTACAAGGTATAAGGGTATCACTTTGTTCATGCAATATGAAAGTAAACGATGGCAGGGAGGTCGGCCTCGCCGTCTGCAGTGCGCACGAGCAGATGCCTGCTAACAAAAACTAGCATGTTTTTAGGCTCATTAGCTGTTCGGGAATCCGAATTCCCATTGCCAATTGATATCTGCGCATTTCCCATGGATTAAAAAAGAAACTCAAGATATGCTATTCATAATCATGATATTCGCTTGGTTTAGCTCCTAAACAATATGTTTAGGAAAAGTTCTGAAACTCGCAAGGCTAGAAATTCAACCGTCGTATCATTTTGTCATCGAAATTTTCCAAAAGCGGGACATTTGGGCGTCCCACTTACTTCATCGGGGGACACCAGGACATGTGATCTGAAAGTGAGACTGTCCCGCCTAAATCGGACGTCTGGTCACCTTAACCAAATGGCACATAATAACCACGCGTCATTGCAACATAGTAAGCTCCTGTCGTGCTGCCATCTTCCTATTGACATGCTCCAGACAGTAGACAGGTCTTCTATACCCGCTGCCTGGACCTCACCTGGCTAATAAGGCCTCCAGTGGAGTTACACTATTAATCGTCATTTGCTGGGTGGGTCTTAACTTTCGGCAAAACGAATGTCGTTTCGATCCGAATTTTTTCATCCCGTCATGCTCCCCATCGTGTGTCGTGCCTCTCTCGAGAATTTCGCGTTTCTGCCTCCAGTGGTTTCCGAGCTACGCTGCTCCAAATAGAGATACGGACTTAATGGCCACCTTGAAGAAGCGGTTGAACGTCCTCCCGCGCACGTGTTCATTACCATACTGCATGCCACGCGTAAATCGAGCAGTGGAAATGGTCGAGGAGAGCCTCTATCTCCTTCCGCCTTCTGCGTAATTAGCTCCTTGGGCGATGTTACAAGTGAGCGTGGGGTTCACGGGGTACGCGTACCTCTTCACCCTCGACACCGTGGAAAACTCCTCTATGCTTTTCGTTTAGTCCCGGCATCAGCTGGTCTTGACCATTCCCGTTTCGATGTCTCATTCCTTCTCCTTACCTTTACTGAGCCAGAAGGGGAAAAAGCCTCCTAGAAATCCAGCACGAAACGAGGAATTTGTGATAAAGGTTCTTCGTCGAGTACAAGAATATTCGTACACTTGATATTTAGCAACCAAAAATCAATTCAACGTCATTGATACCAACAAGAACATTACTGATACAACATGGAAACCATCAATTGAAGAAGAAGAAAAAATATATCTCTAGTTAGTGCGTTGGTGGTGCAACACGTATCGCCGATATGAGATCCGACTATTAACTATATATATTTAACAGTCCTTTAAGAATACATGGATTCCTATGGGAGAAAAAGAGCTCCTTCGCTAAAAGCCCGTTGTCTCCCCTGAATGAGGTTCATGTATTCGGGCTTTAAGCTTAAAAGCCACTATATTCCCACAATAGGACATGCAAGGGAAATTTCGATGTGGCTGAAGTTCATCACGAAATGTTCAATGCGGC